TGGCTCACGGAATGTTTTTACTACATTAGACATGCTGTCTATACATTAACAACACTATATTGTCTGCATTCTTTATGTCAGCACTCAGACCAAGTCTTAGGCGGACGATAGGGGCTTCAGAAACGCTTCTGTTGTCACCATCCCTCAGAACATCTTCGGAGAAATGAAAACAGTCTTGTAATGGATGGGAAGCTCTGCTCTTTCAAGAGAAGCCCTTGAAAGCCACATTTAACTATAGCTTCTAATTAAATTGAGTCATAAATTCAAATAAAAATACATACTTACTATTATCTGTAACATTGGCTAAAAAATCACAGATTAGTATAATAGAAGAAACGGAGCCAATTAATAGAGCCCTCCCAAGGAGAGCTAAGACCCAGAGGCAAAAATTTAATTTAATTTTTTGGTGTCCACTGAATTTTCTCTCACTTCTTGAATAGCTTTCTCTAAAACATCAACTGTATGTTAAGAAACAAAAATCTCAGTACTCACTGAACCACAGAAAGGTTTTTGAATTATGTGTCATGGCCTTTCTTCTTTTCCGCCTCTAGGGGGAAGTGTGTTTTCAACAATTCTGTGTCCAGAAGGTATTTTCTTACCCGTTAAGGCTCCACTGTGTATTCTTCAGTGTGACCTCAGGATTGGCTGGGCAAAAAGCTGAAGGACCTTTGAAAATCTGCAGGGATCCTCACATTACAGGTTTCAGGCCATGGTTTTGAGGCAGGGGGATTGTGGGGAAAATACCCCAGGATTAAACACACACACACACACACACACACACACACACACACACACACACACTACGTTTCAAAGAATCGTGGTAGCTTCTACACATGGTAATCTTTCTGGGTGTTAGCCAAAAAACATTTGGACACAAACTTTACTAGACAGAACCAGAAATAAAATAGCTCTCAGATACTGATGAAAACATTTCTACATGCATGAAACTCCATGAGTTTCTGTAACATCACATTTAACACTAACGTGTTTGGGCTTTCAGCTGGCTAATTTTATTCCTTCGTCTTCTTTGACAATTGAAGTTGATAACTGAATTCTGAATGTGAAAAAAATGTCCCCTCCCCGGCTTCAGTGTTTTGTGGAGTTGAAAGGGACAGTAGCTAAAACCTCAATGCGAGGCTATTTTTATTGTCCCTTTTCCTTCTCGCTTTGCTAACATTTATGATTAAAATGTTACAAAAGTTATATACATCAAGAGGTTATGTTTCAGTTTTAGTCTTCTGGAAAGCCTGAAAATATTGTCCACATAAGATGGCGTGTGTGTGTGTGTGTGTGTGTGTGTGTGTGTGCATGTTAGTATGAGAGTGTGTGTAGTGGTGTGCCAGGGTTGTATGTGAGTATATGTGTGTCAGCGTGTGTGGCTATGTATGTGTATATGTGTCAGTGTGTGTTACACTGCATTGATTTTTATCTTAGGCAAGCACTCCATTGAACTTCATGTATGTGCGTGTGAGAGGGACTGCGTGTATGTGTGTGTGTGAGTATGTTTGAATGTATGTGAGTGACATGTGACTGTGTGTGTTTATGTGTTAGCTTGTGTGTTACACTGCACTGAATTTATCTTAGGTAAGTACTCCATTGAGCTGCACCCCAGCTCGTTCTTTTTATTTCTTTTTTTTTTTTTTTTTTTTTTTTTGCCTTTTGTTGGTGACAGGACCTTACAATATTAAACCTCTCAGGCTAGTCTTGGCTTACTCCGCAGCCCAGGCGGGCTTGATATCCTCCCAAGTAGCTGGGCTTTCAGGCTTGTGCCATCAGGCCCAGCTACTAGTAGGACACAAAGAATATAACTTACAGTGGGAATCAGCTTGGTTACCACGCCTGTTTCACATAGCATTGTAGGTGACCTTTCCCAATAAAAAATATCCTCAGGCGAGAAAGAGGTATTTAAATGTCTAATGTACACAGTTTTTGGGCCACAGTTCTTCAACTACCAAAGCAGAGATATATTTACCGACTACGACGGCAGAACTACATGACAGTCATGCGTCACCAGCCTCAGCTGGTTGCCCGAAGTACTCAGATGGGAAGTAAACAAAACCCTCCTAAGGCCCAAACGCCCAAACCCAGAGGCCAGCGTTACTGTCTGTCTCGGGCTTGTTTGCGTAGGAAGACCTGTCTTTTAGAATCCCAGCTTCTGTTGCTTTGCGATCTGCAAGGATGCGTTGAACAGGCGCACAGGCCGCTACTCTGTGGCCCCCTTCCCCTGTTTCTAGGCTGACCTTAGGCTTCTTCTTGTCTGTGCTCTTTAGCAACAGGCTGGAAGCTGAGCGCTCCTACCAAAGGCCACAGGGAGTCATCACGTAATCTCACTGCCCTGCTGTTGACCCGAGGGAGAGGCTGGGCAGAGCCAGAGATGCGAGAGGCACTCCGCACCCGGTGCCTCTGAAATCTCAGACTCTCCCAGAGAGCACACACCATCCACACACGGCAGAATCACACCGCTGTTGGCTGCTGTTCCCCAGACACAGGGCATACCGGGCGGTAACAGGAAACCTCCGTCCTTCGCGTCTCCTGGCAACCGGCTGAAGTCCACTAAGACCCTTGGAATCCAGGATTTAGCTGTTGTCTTTTTTTTTTTTTTTTTTTTTTTTTTTCTGAAATAGCTACGAGCCTATAAACAAATGTTTGCTCTCTCAAGAGTTCAGGAAGGATTTCATTGCTGTGAAGCGCTAAATGTCAGCTTCCAATGTGCGTGGCTAACTTTTCAGAATTAAACCATTAGTACCGGTTAGCAGCTCTAATTAAATAATCAAAAGCTCACCCAGGGTTTAGAAGCTCTTACCTACAACGAAGGTTTAGGGACCACTGTGCAGAACTGAACTGTAAGCGGCTGAAGTCCTGATGCCGGTATGAAAAGTTACCCGAAATTGTGTTTTCACTGCTGGGAAAGGCGATGGAGAGCTAGCTGTTAGCCGCGAGGAGGGCTCATGCCTGGGGCTGCCAGGTCCTTGGACACCTCCGTTTGCAATTTCATATTCTCAGATGGGAGCTAGAACGCTTTCGGGGTCTCGTAATTCTTTAAGGGGGGTGGGGAGCCCAGAGCAGAGGGTGGAGAATCGCGTGCGCGTTTTTGCCGAAAGAGGGCGTAAGTTTAAGACCAACAGAAGTCGTGCACCCGCGGACGCCCAGCCAAATGAGAGCAATGAGAGAACGTTTCAAAAACATCTTCAATTAGCTTTAACTTGCGGGACTCTAGTGTCAGAACCGCCCCGCGCACAGCAGCCTGTTCCCACCCGCAAAGGTCTCTGCTGCGTGACCGCGGAAAGACGGTGCGGGTCCCCGCGGACCTGCGCAGCTGCGCGGTGCTGCGCCGCGCGTCCAGCCGGGGACGTCCCCGCCAGCGCTTCCACTCCGTCCGCAGCGCTGTGCTGGCTGGGACCAGTGGGAAGACTGGGTCTCCCAGGCGGGACCTTCCTGGGCACCCCAGAACCTCGGGCATCCCGGAACACAAGCGCCCGGGGTTGGCACACTGCTCTTCGGTACTTAGGGATTCTCTGGGGGAAATTTTGGTTTTTTTCTCTTCCTTTTTTTTTTTTTTTTGGGGGGGTGGGGGTGGTGGTGGTGGTAGTGTTGGGGTGGGGGTGGGGAGGAGGCCGTCCGGACCTTTTAGGCACCGGGGTCAGCAAACAGAACCTTTCGCGGGCGCTTTTCAAGCTCCGCGACACTTCCCGGAGCGGAACCATTCACCCACCCCTGGAAGCAACAAGTTTCGCTTTCCTGGTCCCGGGGACCCCGCGGAGGGTCTGCGCCCTGGAGCCCGGGGACGCCGCGGCCGCGGGGACTCCAGCGGGTCCCAGTAGCCCGGAGGGAGGGGTCCACGCCGGGCGGGGGAGGACGGGGACCGCTGCCGCCCAGGCCAGATGGGCATGCCAGGTCTGCAAATGACTCCTCCTGCACTGGGAGCTTGCTCCTTCTTCCGTGACCTTGTTCCGGGGACCAGAAATGTCAGGTGCTGGACAGGACTGTGTACACCCAGGCAGAACTTGGCCGGAGCAGGAAAAGAGGTGAGAACGAGTGAGATCTAAGGAGGTTCGCACCGAAGCCACCCATCTGGAGAAGCACCCCTCCTCCCTTTTTGCGATGTGTGTGTTAGTGCATGTGCGCGCGCGCGTTTTCTTTCCTTTCAAACATATATACCTACTTTTCCTTTTTTTTTTTTTTTTTTTTTTTTTTTTTTAAGGCCGGGGGTTGGGGAGAGCGGAGCCAGGGAGAGGCGGGGACCTCGGAGTAGCGCCGCGCCGCGAGGGCTCCCCCGGGTGTAGACGTGGGCGGCGGCGGCTCTGGGCCAAAGCTGAGCACCGGCGGGGAATGGGGCTCGGGGACCCGGCAGGCGCGAGTAGGCCAGGGGTGCGGGGAGGAGCCCTGATGTAAGAATGTTAATGAGAGGCTCCCCCGGCCCGGCCCCCGCCCCTCCCCCCCCGCCGCGGGGACAAGCCCGGCCTCGGCGCGCCATGTGTGGTAACGCGCCCGCCGCTGCCTCGCTATTTAAACACCGGCTATGGCTCCAGGAACCCGCGCGAATCAATGGGATCAAACGCGGAGGAGGTGCGCCGTCAATTACAAGCACTTGGACAAGTCTAACTTTTTTTTTTCTTCTTTTACAAATAACGCCTTCAAACGCAACCTTAGCAACGCCCAAATAAGAAGCCACCTCTAAGCCAAATAGCCTATGTGCAAAGGAAGGGAGAATATATATATTTATGATAAGGCTATATGTACGTTGCAGACGCACAGGTTTACATTCGGTGAACTTTTTTCTTTTTCTTTTTTTCTTTTGCTTTTTGAAAACCTAGGGACACTGCAGAGGAGTCTTCCTCTCTATCTTTTGGCGCGTTCCTGAAGGGGGGGGGTCTTCTGTTTTCTTGGCGCGCCCGACGGGGCGCAGGGACAGAGGCGAGAAGAGTGGGGAGGACCGGGGCAGGGCGGGCGGGGGGCCGAGGGCGAGCGGGCGTCCGGGGCGAGGGCTCGGCGGCGGCGCGATGCGGTCCCTGCTGCTGCTGGCTGTCTCGGCGTGCGTGCTGCTGGCCCGGGCGCGGCTGGCGGGCGGCGCGGGCGGCGCGGGCGCGGGGCGCGGGGAGGGAGAGGCGCCGGCGGCGCCGAGCATCGAGGTGCTGGTGCTGCTGCCCCGGGACGACTCGTACCTGTTCTCGCTGGCCCGGGTGAGGCCGGCCATCGAGTACGCGCTGCGCAGCGTGGAGGCCAACGGCAACGGCACCGGCACCGGCAGGAGGCTGCTGCCGCCGGGCACCCGCTTCCAGGTGGCCTACGAGGACTCGGCCTGCGGCAACCGCGCGCTCTTCAGCCTGGTGGACCGCGTGGCGGCGGCGCGCGGCGCCAAGCCCGACCTCCTGCTGGGGCCCGTGTGCGAGTACGCGGCGGCGCCGGTGGCCCGGCTGGCGTCGCACTGGGACCTGCCCATGCTGTCGGCGGGAGCCCTGGCCGCCGGCTTCCAGCACAAGGACAGCGAGTACTCGCACCTCACGCGCGTGGCGCCCGCCTACGCCAAGATGGGCGAGATGATGCTCGCCGTGTTCCGCCACCACCACTGGAGCCGCGCCGCCCTCCTCTACAGCGACGACAAGGTCGAGCGCAACTGCTACTTCACCCTCGAGGGCGTCCACGAGGTTTTCCAGGAGGAGGGCCTGCACACGTCCGCCTACAGTTTCGACGAGACCAAAGACTTGGACCTGGACGACATAGTGCGCTACATCCAGGGCAGCGAGCGAGGTGAGCGGGGAGGCGGCCGGGGGCCTCGGCTTCAGCGGTTCTCGGTGTCCCCTCCCCCCCACTGCCCAACCCCCACCGCCTCAGCCTTCTGCAACCCCAGGACCCGGGGTGGGCCCGCACGGCGTCGGGGGTGGGAGTGGGGGTGGGGTGACTTGTTCAGGTGTGAGCCGCCTGACCGGGGGGGGGGGGGGGGAAGAGAGCGGGTTGAGGATAGCCCACCCCGGGGAAGGGCTGTGCCCGCAGAGCCCCGGAGAGGTGGACCTGGCCGGTGGAGGGGCGTCGGAGCCGAGCGCTAGCGCCGTCCCAGGTGTGGCAGGTGTTGCGGGGCGGCGAGGGGGTGCCCCCTCGGAGGGCCCTGGCACTCCGGGGACGCGTGACCCGAGCATTGCTGTGGCGCGCCCCCCGGCAGGGCGCAGCGTCTCCACCAGCTGGGGCGACCTGGCTTTCCCGGCTGCTCCTTCCGCACACCCCGGGTCTTTTTTTTTTTTTTTTTTTTTTTTTTTTAAGGCTCTTTGTGTTACTCTTCTAATCACTTCCGTGCTCCCTCTAGTCCCTTGTGAACAAGCTTCCGTGGCGCCCACCGAGGTGCGTCGCCGTGGCTGCGGTCAGGCGACACTCTCCCCCACCCCTGGAGCCCTGCGCTTCCCAGCCTTTGAAGCGCGCAGGGAAGGGCTTGGCCGGAGCGCGCGCCCG